CGGTGTAGCCCCCGGCGTGAGGCTGGTCCGTGACCGGTTCTGGATGTGGGTCTGTCCGAGGAGATGTTGGTGCGCCACGATAGGCACTCGCGTGACGCGCGCTTCTCAGTGAAGTGTGCGGTGTCGAAGCGTGGTTTTGGCTGAACACGATGAGATTACTGATGTTATTGCACAGCAAATTAGAGAAATGTATTTCTGCTGCCTTAAAGCATGATTTCCCGTGTGAACAGCAGCGAGGTATTTGCGGCTAAGATTTTCCAGTGAGTGTTTAGAAGTAATGTTTCACTTCCTTAAGCTTTTAAAAGTTACTCTGGCTTAAGAATGGTTTCGGTAACCAGAAATGTAGCTTCTGTAATGCGGTTGCCTTGCAAGCTAAAATGTTATATGGAAGCTCGTAAGTCCACCTTAAGATTTGTACTTACAAAGGGAAAACTATTGCAAACAGTTGAATGAGGCTGTAGGTTTCCTTCTTCTCTAGTTCACTAAAAAAGGTGGAAACTGTACTTGTCCTCTTTGGTTATAGGAAGCAAAATGCAGTGTGCCATCTGCAGAAAAAGTGGAAGAAGCTGATCAACCCAGTGATATAGAAGAAGGAGGATTGGATCTCAGTGTGTCACTCAAACCTGTCAGTTTTTACATCACAGACAAAAAAGAAATGCTTCAACAATGTTTCTGTGTCATAGGAGAGAAAAAACTACAGAAGATGCTGCCTGATATTTTAAAGGTACTGAAATACACTTACCTTTTATATATACCTTTTATATACCTTTTTTACAAGCTTGAATGCTTGTGTAACAAAGCACATTTATCTCTCGCATGTAGTGGATTTCCAGCTTAAAAGCTACCTGTGTATTTCTTAAATAAATGTCTTTAACGTTTGTGTCTTTGAAGGTGAGACTGTCTTAAGATGTGATGTAGTTATTTCAGCTTCTTTTTTCCAGTGCTCAGCCACTGCTGAACTGTAGGCTGCATATTTTTATACGGTCTGTCTTTACTCGTTAGTTAAATGCAAAAGGAATTTCATAATTGTGTGGACTAATAAATTCAGTAGTGTTGTTCACTAATGGATGTGCTAATTTCTTAATAAAGGCTTGATTTCTGTTTGTGTCAGCTGAATTTCTTTTTATGGCGTTAAATTAAAATCTGAGATGAGGTGACGAAACCCCTTCTTGATAAACACCTTCTGAAGTTGTGACTTCTGTGGAACTCTAGTGGTAGTGTTCCTAGTTTTACTGGCTTAGCACATATGCTCTTTGAATCTTGTGAACTGCAGGACTTGGTAAAAGTAGTTTAGGTTACTAGCCTGTACAGAAGAGGCTGCAGGTGTTTGTTAATAGTTTTTAAAATGTTGTGCTTAATTACATGATCCGCCTGCTCCCAAGTGATGGGGAATTAGGAGCAAACAGGGCTATGGTTGTTTAGCGTTCTGTGCTTCACACATGTGGCCTGATATTTCTACTGTTCAGTGTTGCAGCTGCAGTAAAAACTCCAAGCCATAGGTCAAGTAACTGATACTGTGTATTGCTTCCCCTCATTATCACCCTCCCAGAAAAAAGCATGCACACTATTTTTGGTAGTTGTCAAAACTGAAACACCTACCTGATGTTCTTCAGCAGTTCCATCAACGCAGGTCAGAACAGGGAGGGGACTTGCATTCTGAGTTACGGCTCTTCCTTCAGCACAGTTGGCGTACTAGTTACCTTTAATGATTACTCTTTCCTCAGAAATTTTTAGTAGTTCGTGGTCTGTCTTGTCTGTCTTAGAACTGTTCCATGGAGGAAATCAAAAGGCTTTGCTTGGAGCAGTTGGAGCTGTTATCTGAAAAAAAACTGTTGAAGATACTTGAAGGTATGAGTGAAACTTCTAAGCACCACTGTACACCAGAGAATAGTCGGCTTCTAAACTGGATTTTCATTCTTTCTAGCTACTTTATAGGTATACAAATGCACTAATAAGTATATATTACTTATTACTGCTTACACATATTAGTATACATACATGTGTTAGTATTATGTATATACACCAGCTAATAGCATATATGGGGTGTGTGTGTATATGTATATATGCTGGTTTTGATCTTTTAAGCTTGGATAAAATTGTCCATTGACTTAGAAACTATTAAGGACACATTCAGCAAACAGTAATATAAGCTTGTTTTCTTTAGTACCCAAATAAAGAACAAAGCTTTTGACTCAATGAAAAAAAACCAAAACAACCCAAACCTGGGAATATAGAGGTATTGTTTGAAATCCATTAATTTAGATAAACTGACGTTAAGTTGCTTCCTGATCCTCTGCAGGGAAATCTGCATAACTGCAATACCAATTCAATTACATTAGCAATTGTACTAGGATATTTGGTGTAGTTAAAGGATTATTGGTTGATCCCTGTGCTATGCTGAGACAAACAGTTCATGTACTTTGATTAAGGATATGACATGCCAGCTTTTCAGTATCATCTTGAACTTGCTATTTGCAGGCTCTAGAATTTATTTGTAAACATATTCTGTCTTCTCAATGAAGTGGAACTCTTTGGATCTTGAATGTTGCAGAGTACCTTCTATTAATTTTGTCTCCTGTGCTTTATTTTTAGCGTCTACAGTATTGTACTAGCAGTATTTATCCTGTTGGTTTTTTTAATAATACCATATAACTGAAAAATGACAACCATGTGGCTAGGAGAAAACACACAAATAGGTTTTTGGTTTTGACTAAGTCTGATTTTAGAGCATCTGCTTTAACTAGGGAGAAGAAATGTCTGCTGATTGCAGTTGTTGAGAGTAAGCCTAACTATATAGCATTAATTATTTCACCTGCCTAATTTTTCATGTTTGAAATTGTGTACATCTAGGCAAGATTGGAGCCGATTCTGATTCTGAAGAGGAGGCAGATGGAGGAAACAAGACTGGAGGTGAATCAGTCAGTCAGTGAGTAAAAGACAAAACAATGAATTTAAGATTACTGAACAATGCAGTCATTTTTCATGAGAAATGATAAATGTAACATTGAAAGACCTGATCACTATATCCTTGACTATGTAATTACTTCAGTTGAATGACAATGAGCTGTGACTGCTAGAAAGCGCTAAACTATAAAGTGACTTTGAAGCACATAACTGGGTTTCATAGTGGTGTTACTGCACACCAGCTAAGTTGTGGTAATTGAACATGCGCACGCTCCTAGCCTGCAGCAGAAGTGAAGTAATATGGTTTAGGTTAATGCTCTTTCAGTGAGCTAAAGCAGGTTAAGTAGCCCTTCACACTTAGGTCAGTGAATCGTTTATTTCCAGTTCAGCTGAGGTGTGTCACTTCTCTTCCAGTCTTCTTTTCTGGTCCTTCATTCCTGATCCAATTGAAGCGGCACAGACACTCGTCTGTTCCCATGTTCTCTGTCAGGGATGTTGTAGAATGTCTAGTTTCAAGAACTGAAGCTTCTAGTTTCTTGGCTTTAGGTTGCCATTTGTCAGTTTCGTAAACGCCAATACTTTTTAAGCTTTTCTTAAAATACTTGTCTGTTTTTTAAAGACAAGTCTTTTGTAGTATAATGCAAAGTCACTTTATTGAATAGGCGAACTCGGAATTCCAACGGTTTCTATAGAAGTAGTGGAGAGAAAAAGAAAGTTACTAGTTATTGCCCACAATTTTTTGAGTCTAACTTATTTGTAAAAGACAAAGTAAAAAGTTTTTCTGTTTTCATTGCTGACCTCATTACAGTTGGTCCACAGATTCAGTGCACAAACTTGATAAACCTCTGAGACAATGCAAGACAATACACCAGCGTTAGGCAGATTAAAGTTCCTTGTAGTTGCTAGTTTAATTCATTTAGACCTACTAAATAGAAACAAATGGATAGAAAAGATGGTGATAATAATCCATATTTCACATTCTGGTCAGTATTTTTGATTTAAGACACCTAGTTTCTGATCCTGTCTTTGATTCAGAAGAAGTTCCTTGTAGTTATTGAATGAAGTAGTTTTCCTTTGATCACATCTTACCGTACAAATATACTAGCAAATGGAGTGATACTAAGTTAAGTGATGTTTCAAATTTTCTCATGTGATAGTTTTAATACTCTGACACTACCCTTCTGGCATTCCATTTAGAGCTGATTTGTGACTGTATTACCCCCTTAGCTATTTGTTGCTTACATGATCTGTGAATGGTGTCAGTACACCCATTTATGTAGATTAATTTTATTATTTTGGACATTGCCCTCTGCTGGCTATTTAGAAAAGCAAAATTAAAAAAATACAAGATAGGCTAAGTATCAGGTCTCTATGTAACGGGGTCTCTGTTAAGTGACTGATATTTTGCCAATGAATTTCTAAGTAAAATGAGAAGACAAACTTGTTGGCTAAGGAAACCATGAAAAATGTCCCAGGATTTTGATTTCTGGAGAAATTACATAATTTCTTTAAGGCCTAAATCACAAGCTCTTTACTGTTGCAAAATACATGAAATGCTCTTCACCTTAGAGAAGTATGGCAGGATTAGTGCTCCTAGATTTCAGAAAGGTAGTTCCATGGCAGCATAGTCCCATGGCTGCAAAATGTTTCCAAACTACTGTTGAGACATGTGTTTATGACTCTCCACTACAGTAGATTGAGTGAAGTCTTGCTTATATGCAAATAAAGTAAAGATTTGAGCTACTAAAAGCCTAAAAAGCAGAAATTGCTATTGACAATTAATGAATAAAACCAACAAAGTAAGGAAGGCAAGTGGGATTTGCTATTTTTTACGTAGCAGGTATCAGAAGATACTAAACAACCCAATTGCCCATGGAAAGTGGGAAAGTTTTTCAGAAAAACACAGCCATGGGATATAAATCACAGTTTTGGAATCTACAGTTTTTATGTTGCACAGGTAATACTCCAGGCATAAGCAGTGAGTAAACCAAAGTGAGCTGGTGGTGTTTACCTTTTCTCCTAGCTGTGTGGAGGTACAGCAGAATTAAAACTGATGAAGTTCTTTAACCATTGCTGCAGTTACCAAAACCTGACAAAGCTAGGTTACCTTACTTTGCTGATGAAAGATGTGAGGAGTAACTGACAGCAAAAAGAGTAAATTGTGTTAAAAAAAAATGTAAAAAACTGAGAGATGTTGATCAAAGTTATAGAGCAGATTGCTCTATACAACAAACAGAATGGTTGAGGTGTCCCTCATTCTTGTACCTCTATCTCCATCCTGATAGTTTAATGTTTCAGACCCATCCAAACTGGCCAGGCAAGATATGTTGATGTAGAAATTGTGGCTTTCTTCCCCTTTTAATGCAGTGGGTGAAAAAATGGTATTGTTACACAAATGGGTGTTATCTCAGAGCCTTGTCTCATAGGTTCAGCTGTGTTAGCTTTAACAAAAAAAAAAAAAAATAAAAAGAGAAAGCTGGATGATAGAGGAAAAAAAGGGGTAGGAAGAAGTAGGTGAAATGAGGTAAAAATAAGCATAGTGCTTAGTAAGTAGAGCAGTATTACACTTTTACAACTGTAACATGTCACAAGCCCTTTTTACTAAATAGGTCTAACCTTTGGGCATTTAGGTTAACTTTTTTTTGTAACCTGTGTTTAAATAAATGTAAATGCAAGTTAGCAAAAACTTCAAAAAACTTTTGTTTCAGCCAGAACAGCAACAAGTCAGTCAGTAGACAGGGAAGCTAAACATGCAACAGTGAACAAATAGGGAAAACTCCATTGGTAAGCTAAACTTTGGTTGGTTGTAATCATTATCACATTTCTAATTATAACCTGAGTTTAAATGGGTGAATTTGTTTACCCTGGGAAGAGAAGAGACTCTTCAGAATTAAAGACAGTTTCTTTCTTTTATTCTTAGTGTTGGTTCTTCCTACTTTGTCTTCATTACTCATAGTTTTCTTGTAAATGACTATTTTTTTCTGCATTTTATTAATGGTGCAACATTAAAGCTTTTTTGTTTAAATACAGCTTGTCTTAGTTGTTTTCATGGACATTTAAATATGGGAGGGGAAAATGTGAAAAGCAAATGGTATCAAAAATTTGTTAACTGATTGGAAACACCATTTTATTTCTTTTATTTTTGTTCCTTAAAAAAGTCGAGCTTGTACCTTCAGCAATATCCATATATCAGTAGAAATCCAGAAATCTTAAATTAATACACCTGAAGCAATTATAAGTGTATTAAAAAATACAGGCTTTCTTAGAAGGGTGTGGCTTGAACCTCCCCCCTCCCCACCCCTTAAGAGACTTACCTGTCTCTAAACACCACCTTCCTGTCTGTACCATCTAAAAGGAGCAGGGATTTAGTTTCTTCAGATGGAGGGAAGATTGCAAAATTCAGATAGTTACCTGAAGCTTTGGACGGTATTGCATCTGTAATTGTAAATTGAACATTGAACCTTCCTTTTCTAATGCACATATTCTCATTCTGACAGCAGAACTAGAATTCCTGAGGCTTATTCCTAAATTTCAGCTCTGTAAAAGCTTCACATGCTTCCATTAGCATGTAAAACACATGCTCTGATGTTTTGTCCATAGCTGCTTCTTGAGTTAAACAAGTAAAAGTAAAAGAAATCTTGGAATAAGCCAGCAAGAGAACTGAAGAAGCAGGGCCAGTGATTGCCAGTAAGTGGAAATTGCTGTTACAATAACAAACACGTAAATGCTTTGTTACTTCAGCTTGGTGTAGATTTTTGGTTATACAATTCTCAGATTTTTGTTACTCTTTCTGTGTTACTGTCTGCAGTGGAATATCGTTAAACCAAGAGAATTGTTGTATACCAGGCTTCCAAACTAAATGACAGAGTTAATTGAAAAGAATTAGCCAGTTCATGTCCTACAAAATGAAAGAGGCATTCTTCCCATCATATTCAAAAGGTATCATGCTTTTGAGCTGTTTCGTTCTTGTTCCCTGAATTGGCTCTTTAAATACCCTCCAGCAGAAGAACTAAGAGTAAATTTTTTGCTGTAGTAATAAAACATATAGTAAAAGAACAAGCATACTAATACCATTAATGGTCATATGTTCTTGTTTATAATGTGGGCAAATTAGCTTTAAAAATCTAATGGGCTTATTTCTTCACTGTGTGAAAATGTACAATTTAATATTCACTCTTTCAAGAGTTCATAGGCTTTTGACTGCTTTGCAGTCATTAGTCCAGTTTTGCTTGTTTTGTTTTAAAAAGGTTAGTATTTTAAAGGCATGCCCTGTTTTAACATGTTTTGCTGCTGGTTATTGGGCTGTTCCAGGATGCGATTGCCATCTGATATTTACACCTTTAGGACAATTTGTTTATCTTCACCATTTGGAGTCATTGAAACAATAGGCTACGTGAGTCACTTGGCATCTGTTCACTGTCTTGTATTCTCCTGGTATCTTCAAACTTCACCTGTAATCAGACTGATGAACCTTTCGTAGCTCATTAAACTGTTGGATTAGCATCTGTCATTTAGGATACCTTTCTTGAGGGACACTGCTTCATAAGGACTTTTTCCTTTTTTTAGTTCTCACTTGTCATGGAAAACTACCCTTAGAACAGAAAATTTCAGGAAGCTTATGAGGACTTGGTACTCAACTAGAAATGTTTTTTAGACTTGGAACTGCAAAGGCAAATTTTAGTTTAGGAAGGTACATAATCTTTATGCCAAAAATAGCAGAGATACTGATCTCAAGCCTCACTCCAGAGATTTAGATGTACGTTTCTTAACAACAGTTAAAAGCCCTGTAAGGAAAGTCTCAGCATGACTATATCTTATGTTGTCAGACTGTCAGTCTTCTAGTATAGTACATGAAGATACTTTTTTCTGTTGCAGAACTTTTCCTGCTGGTCTCTAACAACAGTTACTACTACTGAAGCTTGGTATCATAGTGACCAACCAGTATTGCAGTTTTGATGCTCAGCTATCCACTCTTCTGACCAGTACCCCTTTTCCTAACCTGTGCTGCTGTTTTACCTCACTCTGCATAATCTGCTGGAGTTGTTGTACCCAAGCACCCTCAAACCTAGATTTCTTTGACAGCTATGCAGATTTCTGCAAGTAGTAGATTCTGTACAGAATCCATGTTTGTAAGCCCAGGTAAACACTCCACAAATGTGGAGCATGTCAGCATGAAATGCTAGCATAGGGCAAATAAATATTCATAGCATTTGTCACCTACGAGCTGTACTAGTTAGATTCTTTCTGCTGAAGAGAACATACTGTACAAATGTTGCTCTGTTAAAATAAAATAAATGATGAGTTTATCTCTTGGAAGAGTGATTTTGAACTTAACTGTTATGCCGAGGGGGAAGTGGCTTTAAAGACTTATAAGAAGATGGAGATACAAATCACTGTGATGACTTAAAAGCATGGCATGAAAGGGGGTGTTAAATTTGTATGCTGATATGCTGTGTCTTAATTTTAGATTAGTACATCTTCTGCTTCCGTTGTTTGAAGACATGATGTTGTACTACCCTTTCTTAACCCTATACTGCCATATAGATAATTAGGACAAAAAGTATTTTTACTAACAAATCAAACAAGGCTAACAAGGACAAAACTGAACTGAAATGCTGCTTCTTGGCCACAAGATGGTGCAGAATGCCTGCCTGTTAAATGAAGTAGTGAAAGTTCACCAGAAATACAGTCCAATCCAATCAATTCTGAAAGAGTAAAATGTGCTATCGAAGTACTTTTTGTTAAAAAAAAATTTTGCTGACCTATGTTCCTTCAAAGAGAAAGTGGTTTTGCTTTAATAGTGATAGCTTTAAGGCAACAGGAGGAAACTTTACAATTTCTGATGTGTGGGTTTTCTTCAGTTGATAATTTCTTTTTATGTAGCTGTTAAAATGTGTGTAGGTGATTTCAGTTGGTGCTTGACCTCAGAAGCTCTGAGGCTTCTGTCAAAGGGGTGATTGTAATTCCTTAGTGAAATTTGGTGTTGCAGCTCCGGGTGATACTAGACATACGAAGTTTCTTGCCTGGATACTATTTGGGTGAGGTCTGACTTTCCCAAGTGACATGCTGCTGTCCAGTGCAGAGATGACTACTCAGCTCAAAATGAAGAATCATGTGTGTGAGGAAGGATGGGGTAGGGGCAGCATGAGCTGCTTTTGCTCTTAGTGATGAGCAGGGTATATCATCAGCTTATTTTGGTCAAGAGTTGAGTAACTAAATAATTAGGAGTTGTCTGTTTGGTACCTGACTCCCAGACCTCTCATCCTACTTGCTGGCTAGACTATCTAGGGTTTGTTGGTGAATTACAATGTCCTGGGTTCAGCTACAGCAGTCTTTTTTTCTTTTCCTTCTTAGCAGCTGGTGCAGTGCTGTGTTTTTGACTTTCAGCCTGGGAACAACGCTCATAACACTGATGTTTTTAGTTGTTGCTAAGTATTGTTTACTACAACCAAGGACTTTCTCAGTCTCATGCTCTGCCAGGGAGGAGGGGAAGCTGGAAGGAAGCAGAGACAGGACACCTGACCCAAACTAGCCAAAGGGGTATTCCACACCACAGCACATCATGCTCAGTATAGAAACTGGAGGGAGTCGTCCAGAAGGCCCAGATTGCTGCTGGGGTCAGGCTGGCTATCGGTTGGGAGGTGGTGAGCAATTGTATCCGCTCCCCGTGTTATTTCCATCATTATTATTATTATTATTGTTATTATTGGTAGCAGTAGTGGTTTGTATTATACCTTAGTTACTGGAGTGCTGTTATCTCAACATGTGGGAGTTATGTTCTTCTGAGTCTCCTCCCCATCTGTCTGGGAGCGGGGGGAGGAAGAAGCAGGGGAGTGAGTGAGTGGCTGTGTGGTTCCGAGTTACTGGCTGGGCTTAAACCGTGACATACAAGCATCTGCATACATGCTGATGCATGACATTGAACTTCCTCGAGAAAGTGTACACATTTTTCAGGTGTACACTGACTTGTGGCAGCACAGTCCTGCAGGCCTCTATGATCTATGGTCCCTTTTGCAGTTGCTGGCACGCACACATGCATGTATACAGAGATTAGTATCCTCTCATTTGGAAAAATAGTATGGTGATTGAATTCAGTGAGAAGGCAGGAAAAAACTGTTTATGCACTGCTGGCCCTTTATCATTTTTTTTTTTTTTTTTTTTTTTACCTTCTTTCCCCATGCTTGTTTGTTAATCTGCTGTGGTCTCTTCCTCTTACCACCTGTTTTCTTCCTCTAAACATTGCATGCTGCCTTACATGTTTCTACACTCCCCTTATAAACATCTGCCTCTAGCTGACTGCTCTTACAAGATTTCATTCCCAGAAGGATGGGCTGATGGCTCTCCTTTCACAATCCGAGGAGCAATTCAGGCAGGGTGATCCCTCTGCACTCATGAAGTTACTCAAGGTCCTCTGCTTGCTGTTTTCCTAGGCTCCTCACTGGGTGTTTGAGCTTCTGGTGACTCACCATTAAATGTATAACCTAATGCACAGGGCAGCACAAGGGAGAACCGAGTGAGATAAGCCTTGGCAAGTGACAGGAGACCAAAACCTGAAATTCCTGGGAAGGTGTGCTCTGACTGCATCATGGACAGATTCAGTTGGTGGTCTGTGCTAGCAGCTGGCCTAAGCCCACACAGTAGTGGAGGTGGGTAGAGAAATGTTAATATCCAGGAGTCCAGCACTGTATTAAAGCAGAGGACCAGTTAAGCTTTGATCGTAAGCTGTGGCTTAGTAATAAGAGGGTGTTTCCCCTGGTGTAGGCTGTGCTGATTCACTGGAGTGGTCTCAGTTAACTGTGACCACATAGGGGTGTGTATCAGAGCAAACCTTTTCCTCACCGCCTGTCCTCTGTTTGGTCTACTTAACTTGAACGTGGTGATGTCATGTTGTCCAGTGTTCCTTTTCCCCCTTAACAGCAGGAAGAATGAGACTCTCGTTAACATGTCTAAACCACCACATACAGCAGACCTTTTTATTTGTTCAACACATACATACCGAGATACCACATACAGCAGACAAATTTTATTTATTGAATTCTTGGGTTTATTTTGCATCTAATAAGTGAGGGCTGTAATCCGTCCTCAACACCTCTGGCCTTTGTAATACAAGACTGATGACTGGAATAAAAACAAATTTAGCAAACTCTTGTTAAGAGGCAAAGTTTAAATAATTTTCTGGAGGGGTTAGCCATATATACAGAACTTCGTGCTCAGCATAGCTATTTGAACATCTAGTTGCATCCATTCTTTCTCTTTCAGCCCTGCCTTGGACTGGAAGTTCCAACAGGAATTAAAAGGCTGGGAGGATGATTTGACCAAGTAGGAAAGCAAACTGAAAAGATAGATACCACTGAGTTCTGAGAAAAATGTATCACACTAGTCTATTCCCAGTTTATTATAATGGCATTAGGTAGTACATTTCTCTTTCTTTACTTAAAATGCAGAACATTTATAAATGTTTTTCTGGATGCTGTGTGCATGTGAAAATGGCTAAACATTCTCCTTAATTATTGCATGCTACTATAGACATTTATGTGGCAATGGGTACAAAAAGTGGGAGAAATAGAAGAGTCTATTGATTTGTAATGTTTGCTAGTACAGAAAGGGAAATAGCAATCAAAATAACTCTCTCAAACCAGGATGGCTAAAAGTATTATGGTGTTCTCCCTCCTGACATAGTGATTGGACACTTGGAAAAAAAAAATTCTTTGAAAGCATAGGGGAAAAATAAATCTGTATTCAATTTTAGGAGAAGCTGTCAGACCATTACTGAAAAAACAACAACCACCAAGTGTTAAAGTCATTATATTTACATCTGTGATACCAGAATACTGCTATCCTTTTTATAGTGCTGTTTAGCTCCCACAGGCAGCATAGTTGCATTGATTCCCTATTAATATGTTTGAAACCAGTGCCACACCAACATTTAGGGTTGGAAATTGGCAATTTAATTGTCAAAATGTCCACTAAACGTGACCATTGAACTCTTCTTGTGATTCTGGTTCCTTCTGTCTTGCTTCTTCCTGTATATTTCTCAGTATTTTCACAGTTCGTGTAACTAGTATGTGCGAAATGTGTGAAGGACATTAACATTTCACAGAAGTATCTCTTCCTCATATGTTGTATAAATCAGTTGAAACTTTAAAGCTCAAGAGTAGAAATCTTGAAACAGAAGTAAGAGAAGTGCAGATACTGAATACAATCTCAGTTAAGTTGTGTTTCTTTTTAAAAAGTGCCCCTTTGTGAAACTATGAGATTGTAATGTAGGAAGGGTGGATGGTTGTGAGTGATGGTAACTTCATGGAAATAGCTTCTTGATTTCAAAAGAAAACAGTGAACAGTATATAAATGCAACTGAAATGATAGCTTTTTCAAGTTATTTAACTGTGTGACAAGTTATTCTGAGTTTTAGAGAAAAGCTAATATTAGGGAGGGACTACTGGTGAAGATTGTTATTCTGAAAGGCTAGAGCATAGCGGAAATATTTGCTTTATCCTTGTGTATTGCTAGGCAAAGCAAAACAAAACAAAAAAGCTCATTCTCAAGTGCTTAAGCTAACATTCTATACATTCCATTTGCCTTTATTCATACTGCAGCTGTCCTATTGGTCTACCACCACATTTCTTCAGTTAAAGTAAATATTTCTTAGAGAAGTTCTCTTAAATTGCAAAAGATGTAGATTAAAATGTCTTCTTACTTGTTTCCAGACAGGACAACAGTATAGACTCTACTTCTTGTCTCAGAGAAGACAAGCTGGAAAGTCAGGAACCAAAACAAGGTATGTAGTGGAGAAAGCTGAAAATCTGTTTTCTTGATGTCGGGCAGTAGCTAATTCCAGATAACTGACACCTCTCTTCTGAACATTAGCTACAGTCACAGAGAAGCTCCCTCTTAGAAATCAGCTTGAGTGGGATTACAATCTCTCCCTTGGGACCAGTTCCAGAAAAGGAGAAGGGAACATTGAAGAAGGCATTGTAGTAACTTTGGCTAGAAGGAAGTTGCACCTCTTCAAACATTGCTACTTTAGCTTCTGAAATATGACTGAAGCTCTTGTGAGGCTCATTTAGCTCTTCGTATTTAGTTTTTCAGATGAAGAGAAACTTAAGTAGCTTCAGTTTCTTGGTACAGGCAATTGCTAATACTGCTATTACCATTTTCTGAATTCTTTTTGAGTCAGTTTTGCTTTCTGTTGAGATTATCAGAAGAGTCAACAGTACTCTGTTTTGACATTCATAGAAATCTGTTATAATAATTGTTTGCCAAAGGACGGCTTGTAATTTAGTCATTTTTTTCAGTCTTGGTATATGGTACTTTGCTTGCTTTGACTGGGGATCTGAGGTCCAATGGAATAGTGCTTAACACCCACCACTCCAAATAACTGACATATTTTACTTGAAAGTTAGTGCCAGTGGAAGTGCACATTTAAATCTCTGAATCTCTGAGGATGAACATTGTCTTGTATATTTTCTCTTTTTAAATGCAAAAATGTAGTGGGTGAGATATTCAGGAACTGCAGTGATTGGAAGAATAGAAAATGCAAAAGCAGGCAGGTTGATGGCTCACATTTGATTACCTGCTGCATAAGAAAACAGTTTTCTTAACCTGTAGCAGTATTTGTTTTCTTCTAGTCATTAGATCAGCACTATGTAACAACTGCCAGTATTATTTTCTTGCACGAAGCACTAGAATTGTAGGTGTTTCTGTCTCAGTCTGTTTATTTTCATTTGAACCAGCTGTATGTAGTAACATCATAAATAGCTTTTCCAATCAGAGTTCTGCACATTCTTTTAAGCTATATTTCTCTTCTGCAAAGATCTAACATTATTTGCTTCCTGCAGCTCCTGTTTTGCAGTTCAGAATGTTGTCTAAAAGATGTCTCTTGGAATAACTTTGTGAAAAAGGTCTGGGTTTGTTGTTTTTTTTTTTTTTTTTTCTCTGAAGTAGTTAATGATGGTAATTAAACAGAGAGGAAAGAGTCAAAAGCATCAAAATGTTTAGGAGCAGGTTGTTGCAGCTTTGCGAGGAATGCTTTAAATGTTGCTTGTCGTACTATATGGAGTGACCTAAGAACTGACAGATTTGCTGCAGATCTCTCACTGTTCTATTATCAAAGGCAATTGATGACTGTTGCAGGTGATTGCTTCATTGTTGTTTTTTATGACTTAATCAACCAGAGTATCATGATGGCTTTGGGCTATAACAGTGGCTCCACTCAACATGTTAGCTTTAAAGAGCTTTTGAGAATCAAAATTCATCAGTATGAATTTAAAAATGTAACTCTAATCATTCTGCTGAGCTGCAGCCTGTTATGCTATGAAGAAAAAAAAAAAGAATGAGAGGATAAGCAAAAGTGGATAAAATTAAATTTAAAAGTGAAATTAAGTGCGCTAAAAGAATTTTGCAACTGTAGCTGAAGAAAAAAGGAAAAGTTATCAAAATGAAAAAGATGAGAAATACAAACCATGATCTTTATTACTGGGTAAAATCACACTGCAGAAGAGAGATATAAAGCCCATCAGCTAATTAAACATCTGTAGGCCAATGAGCTTATATGAGTGCAGTGTTATACGGTTTTGAAGGCAGTATTTCTAAATTGGGACTGAAATGCCATGAAAAAACGTAGCCTGTGATCAGGAGTGAATATCTGAATATCTTTAACCCTGAATCAATAAAACCCCTGGAGTTAGTTTTTAAAATGTTACTGTTGCTTATAAAACCAATTACAGATTTTTTTTGACCAGAAAATAAGAACTAGTTTGCTTGCCTGCCTCCCTCTCTCACTCCCATCCCCTCATTTTATTTTTTTTTTTAAGCAGAAAAAGTGCATTAATAGCTTTCTTAATAGTCAATATTGATTATTTATTTTCCCCACACCCTCAGGATAGCAAGAATGCATAAAACCCAAGAAAAATAGATCTTTTGTAAGGTTTTTGTGCACTACTCATGAATTAAATGCATGCATGTACCAAAAGACATTTTAAAATATTTTAAAAGAGAATAGTATTTTTCTAAAGCCTTATTCAGTTTTCCCTTAAAAGTGGTCTCTTTCTAAGGTTGGTTGATTAAACTGACTTTGAACAAAGAATTTAGTTTTTCTAATCCATGTTCTACTGCTGTTCTTGTACAAGAGCTTCCACCGAGTGTGAGGGGCTTGCATAAAACCTCAAGAAAAAAATAAAATCACTATGTGGATGTGGAGGTTTTTTACACTTCACATTTGTGTTTCCTTGAAGTCTCACATTTGTTTTGTAGCATTTTTAAATATTTCCTGTATAATAAAAACCAATACAACAATAGTGTAAAACAAAGACTTCTAAAAATGTTGTTTCGAAAATCCTACTCCTTTTGAAAGGGGAGATTGTTTGTTTTGTATCTGAAACTCATGTCAAAGGAACATTCTTATTGAGAAGAATTATTAAAAAAATTTCCAGAAGTTTTCCAGCAGTAAAACATGAAGCATCTTGTGAGAATCTTGAGCAAAAAAGCCAGTGATAGGAAGATAATTAAAGGTATTAAACCCATAGGTTCCTGCTGCGGTGGCAGATTGCATTATCCATGGGTTTTTTATATACTTTGAATGTCAGTAAGATTGTGATTGCGTGCTCTTAAAAAGGAGCAATTCACAAAGGAAGTACTTGCTTGGGTTTTGAGTGTATTGATTGTTTTGCTGTTGATGAGCAGTCCTTGTAAATCTGTACTTCTGCCTTGCAGATTTGAGTTTCAGGAACTCAAAGGTATGAGTTGATGAAAGTAGCAATTAAAAAAAATAAACCCAACAGTTTGATGAAAGGGAATCTTTCAAAGCCAGATGTCAACACACTAATTTTAAGAATCAGTCACGAAATTGTTTAGGCTAGAAGGGACTGTTCTAAGATCATTGAACCCAATACACCTGCTCAGCCAGGTCAGCTAGAGCAGGTTGATCAGGACCATATGCAGTTGAGTTTTGAATATGTATAAGGATGGAGACTCCCCAGCCTCTCCAGGAAACCTGTGCTGGTGTTTGACCACCCTCACAGTATTAAAGTTAAGTATGTGCAGATGAAAGTTCCTGTTTTAATTTTTGCCCATTGACATTAATCCTGTTAGTGAGCAGTACTGAGAAGAGTCTGGCTCCCTTGTCTTCATGATCTCCCATATTTTCAAAGGAGAATTAAAGAAAAATTAAAAACCAGGTTTCCAATACTGTTTGAAGGTATCTTAAAGAATATTTTGGATGTATAGAGAATCATTATAGGCTTAAGTAACTTTCTCAGAATGGTTTGGGTTGGAAGGGACCTTAAAGATCCTTTAGTTCTAAGCACCCTGCCATAGGCAGGAATACCTTCCACTAGACCAGGTTGCTCCAAGCCCTGTCCAACCTGGCCTTGAACACTGTCAGGAATGGGGCAGCCACAGCTTCTTTGGGCAACCTGTGCCAGTTCCTCATCACCCTCAGAGTAAAGATTTTTTTTTAATATCTAATCTAATGTCATCTTAAAGCCAATCCCCATTATTCTGTCACTATGTGCCCTTGTAAAAAGTCCCTCTCCAGATTTCTTGTTGGCCCCTTTAGGTACTGGAAGCTGCTCTAAGGTCTCCCCAGAGCCTTCTCTTCTCCAGGCTGAACAAGCCCAACTCTCTCAGCCTGTCTTCATAAGGAATGTAAACTTTCTTTGAATCTTCATGGTAAGAAATTGTATGTATTTCAAACCCACAGATATTTAGCTCTAGACCCCTGTTGTTAATTAAAGGGAACACACTATAAAGCTGTACCTTTGGATGGTGATACTACCAAAACCAATTATAAAGCTTTAGAATCAGTAGCTTATCCATCACCTAATCTATAAATTGTTTTAAGCAGGAAGAAGTCCTACTGTAAGTTCTCACAGATAAAAAGGTTGGCGAAGGACTAATCATTTCTGAAGCCAATGTGCCAAAAGCAGTAGTCTTGCTGTAGCCAAATTGTGAGAACAGTTGCTCAAGTTCTGTTTAGAGTTTCGCCTTTTTTTAATTGCACTGCTTCTTCTAATTTTTTTGTTTTAATAAACTTCAATTTTTACCCAGCATTAAAAGTCAATGCCATAAGTGTGATCATGTTTTTACTGAGTTAAATGTCTGAAAGACTTTTGATAGATTCAGAATAGCTGCATTGTAAGTGGAGTTTGTTTTACTACTGTAAAAGAGTATGCCTTTTAAAATACATGAAGTAGTTCTAAAGTGTCATTTCTAAAATTACATTTTGAAAACTTTACTAAGTTTACTTTAAAGTAAACAATAATCAATTTTGCACTGCAGAGGCTTCCTTGTGATAAAAAACCCATATGGCATTTTAGTTGAGAAAATAGATCACGTAACTCCATAGGATGGAATAAATTTTCCTGGTACTTCTGCTTTGCTATACTGCATGTTCTTCTAAATGGGCATAAAAATGCATTAACACTTGTCTAAATTAGATCAGCCTTAAAAGTTGGAGGAGAAAAAGAGGAAGAATTAGTTGTCTTAATTTCGTGACTCTCTTCTGCAATTCTTCTTCATCTGCAAAGAAACACTTTAAGCGGAAGTGATCTTGTAAGTTGAAAGAATAATGGTTCTGTTCGGCAACTGTATGATTGTTACATTTGTGTTACAGGCAAGGGAGAAGATAGTGATGTCCTCAGCATAAATGCAGATGCGTATGATAGTGACATAGAAGGTCCATGCAATGAAGAAGAAGGCCCAGATGTGCAAGAGAACACTGTCAGAAGTGGAGCCAGTCAGATAGATGACCTTCAGAAGGACATTGAAAAAAGCGTGAATGAGATACTGGGATTGGCAGAGTCCAGCCCAAAGGAGCCCAAAGCAGCAACCTTAGCCATTGCTCCATCAGAAGATGTTCAGCCATCAGCACAGCAGCTGGAGCTTCTGGAGCTTGAGATGAGGGCCAGAGCTATTAAGGCTCTGATGAAAGCTGGTGATGTAAAAAAACAACCCTGAGATTGTTTAAATTTAATTTTCAGTATTTGTTTTGATGGATGTGATGTCTGTTATCCTCAATGCTAACCTGTGTTTGGGTTGGGTATGACATTCCTCATTCAAAATCTGTTGTGTATCATGACCTGTGGCTTACGCCGCTTATAGTTGACTTCATTGCCTTTAGTGTGCTGCTTCCATGATGTTCACAGACAGAGTTTGATGCTTCACTGGGATCAGGTCTTTTTGTGCTGATTGTCTCCTCAAGGAGTCACACAAGGTATAGAGCTATACCAGGAGCCTGCTGCCTTTCAGAAAGGTTAGGAAAATCAAGTTCTTTCTAACCCGATGGTTAGAAGATACCAGCTGTTTTGTTTATTAACAACTTGTTAAACTACTTGAGAAATTTTGATTTATATGTATTTCATTAAAAATAACATTTTTAAGGGGTCTTTCATTGTGTGACTGCCTTCAGCAGTCTGTGATAGGATTTAAGGTTACTATTTCTGTCTGGCATCCAGCTTGTCATAATGTAGCTATTCTAGTTAAAAGGAATGATTATTCACTTAAAAGCATACTTAAATATTAGCAAGTTGAATTCCTGAAGGAAGAGATTTTTTTTTTCTTTTCAAATAGACAGTTGAACCATGTTATTTTTAAAGTTATGAAAGTGCCTGAAAGTGACAAATAGTGGATTTTTATACTGTTTGTCATGTAATTTTGTCACTCTGCCGTTGACGTCATGTGTCATAACTGAAATAAAGAAAACAAAAGTTTTTTCTTGACTGTGAAGCTTTTTTGTTGAGTATTTCGTTTAATATTTAGGGCAGTGCAGCAAATCAGACTATTTAGAAGACGTTGAGGTTTTTAACATTTAACTGATGTAGTTATTTCATGCCACCTGTAAATAGAAAAATCCACCAAACTTCAGTATAAATGTTTTTTAGAAAAGACATTTATGTAAGGTTTTTAAATGGTTCCACTTTTATCCATTTCAAGGGTATTTCTTAGTAAATTGTATTATAGGATTAATTTTCCTCCTGTGATTTCTTACAACAATTAAAATAACTGAATTTGTTTTGAATTAGTGCTGGTTTTATACTTGTCTGCTAATTAAATGCATAGAATCATAGAAAACAAGAATGGTTTGGGCTAGAAAGGACCTTAAAGATAATCTGGTTCCAACCCCCCTGCCACGGACAGGGACACCTTCCGCTAGTCCAGGTTGCTCCAAGCCCCATCCAACCTGGCCTTGAACGCTGCCAGGGATGGAGCATTTACCACTTCCCTGGGCAACCTGTTGCAGTGTCTCACCTCTCACAGTAAAGAATTTCTTCTTTATATCTAACCTAAATCTCCCTTGTTTATGTTTGAACCCATTCCCCCTTGTCCGGTTAAAATATTCATGTTTTGTTTTCATGCACATACACAAATTGATTTTTTTTTTTTTCCTTAGGTCTGAAGTTTGTGAATCTGGTCCTTGTTAAGTAAAACTATCTATTATATTTTGTTAGTCCTGATTTTTGCTTTGTTGGAACCTATGAAGCAAATTAGATACTTAGCAGCAGTCCCTTTAACCCCTTTCTGCCATTTTCCTTTCTTTTTTGGTCAACAAGTGCATTGTCTTTAGTAGCAAGCTTGTGTATTTCTTAAAGTATTACTGATTTCCTCTAGAATCAACACTATTGTGAGTAAAATGGTAGAAAAATAGTGCAGTGCATTTTGATTATAAACTAAAACCTGTATTAAATACAGCTGAGAATTACGGTGTGCATTTGCAAAGTGGTGGCAGTGACATATATATATCCAATTCCAAAGGTAACTTAACTGTGTGTGTTGTCTTCGGTTAATTTCATTTGGCTGTTTGGTGAACTTGTGATTTATTAGACTACAGGGAAACAAAAGCAGGTAAGGAGAGACAGACAGCTGGCGAAACCTGATGTGCTGTCTTGTTACTTGTAGAGTCAGAGGCTAGTGGAACTATGGTTGACTGTAAAAATAAGTTTTACTGCTGCTATGCTTAGTTCCTTAAGGCACTGAACACTTCACTTTGCCTGCTGCAGAAACAAAAAATCTCACCTCAAGGATGTTTGTTTCCTAGTCCTACCATGCAACCAATAGGAAAACTTATCCGCTATTGTCTGCCTCTCTTCTTTCGTGTCAAGGTTCATTTGCCAGTTCTACAGTGTGCCATAGTGTTGATGAGGCTTGCAAAATCCCAAGCAATAGGAACAAACAAAAATCAGTCCTTAAAACTGAAGAAAAATGGACAATGCAGTAGTAGTTGGTTTGAAAGAATAAATGTTTATAGACCTGTATCTTTCCTTTTTTACTGGCACTCTCAACACCTGTGCTTTTATCACCCACTGAGGTGATTCCATGCTGACTGCATACTCCCATGTGGCACACGTGTATTTTTGCCAACCACTGAACAGCAAAAGGTTACTTCATGCAGAAGCCATGCTTTGGTAAAGATGTTTTAGGAAAGCTGGCAGCAAATCAGGTTTAATTAAAAATACATTTCCAATGCCACCATAATAACACATATAGTCAAATATACAAAGTTCGTTCAGAGATCTTGCAGAACAATCCATTTGGCATCAAGAAAATAGGGCTAGGAAGACTAGATAAACTAGAATGTAGTTCTCTTCCACTGCCTACCTGCTGGATATATGTGGCATTTATTTCTGAACTGAGCTTCATTTACCTATTGGCTTCCCAGCTCACCTTTAAAAGTTCATTTTGTAGTATATTGAACTGTCAAAGGTTATTATTTCAAGGTCTGTATCAAGAAGTTGCATATGCTAACTTTAATAAGCAGCGTGACAAAGATGAAACAGGTTTACTATGCATCTGACAAAGAAGATTTGTAATTACAGCCTAATTAAATCTGAAATGAAAAGAGGAGAAGAAAATTAAGAAAATTAAATTAAGCTGTTTACAAAAATAAATTAAAAAATATGATTGTGATTGATTACAGAAGCGCTAATTCGTTTGTAGGATATTGTACCACTGCTGCTTAGGTTAAAAGCAGCCTAGCTAAATTATATGGGTTCTTGCACTGATTTGTGATACTGCACAGTTAAAAAAATCCAATTATATGGATTACATATAAATTATATTAACATATAATATTTCAAATGTGTTATACAACTTTTTTGTTATTCACTTCTAAATATCTCTTTTGAATTTTCCTGGAAAAATAAATTTAGTTTCTCATTTGGAAGAAGAGTCAATTTGTATGTAAAATTCAGTCATGAATTATTTATGAAACCTTAAAACAATTTTACTGGTTTTCGATCAACCATTTTCTTGGGAAAAAATACACTGGATGTTGGTCAGCATGAGGTAAAAGACCCTGATTATATTCTGGGCTGCAACAGAAATATTTTCTAATGAATATTGGCTGTCCTTATAGATGAAGCACAGTGCTTTTTTGAGGAGAAGAGTTGACTGTGCTTGTATTAGGTAAATAAAAAGGTGTGACTTCCCAGGGAGCCAAGAGTATCTATTATTTCTGTTCAGATGCTTTGATGTTATTTTTATTGTGATTTTATAGAGAATAATAATACAAGATGCCACTTTTGGGGGACAAATCTCAGGCATTTCCTTGGTAAAGAATTAGTTCTGTTTGTAACACTACAGTATTTTGCTTATGAGATCTAGTGCCTTGCATAACTTTTCTTAAACTACGTTATAAAATACATTATTTGCTGTTTAAAATTATTGTAATTATTAATCACAGTGAATGATAGTTTTGATCACTGACTTCAGGTTGCTTCTAAGTACATACACATGTAGCACGTAGGGGATCAAGTCATCTGTGTGAATGATTTGAGATGCTGCAGTTTTATGAGGATACTGTTGAACTGCAACATTAAACATGAGCAGCATGGTAATATGTTGTGAATCTCACCCAGCAAGTCAGCTGGGTAGCACTTGTCTGTGTTTGTGGGAGCACAGTTTCACAAACAGCAGCCACGGTGGGGGGACCCTGTAAAGAGGCAATATGCCTCTTCACCAGCCAATTCCTTACACGGTGGGGGCTTTAAAGATTGTAAATGGTTGCTTGGTTACTACTATTATTTTTAAAGTATCAGTCTACAAAAGCAGTTGTCTTTACTGAAGTTACTTTGTTTTCATCTGTGGATAAAGCGTGTCAAGGTTTTTCTAAAAGGCAGCAACTGATAAAAGGTTTTGTGCACGTGAATGCATAGCAACTTGTTGTATGTGTGGCATTTTAAATGCCCGTCTTAAAATCATTAGCACTGATTTAGCTTTATGAGATCACTGATGCTGGTATACATGCCCTTTTCACAGAAGATTCTTGAAGATTAATCGTGAAATACGCCCTTTAGTCAAGAAGGGAGATGAGGTGGTTAATTGATGCAGAAATAGAGAGAACAACAGTGTAACTTTAGGAGCCAAATTAAAAACTGATTATGAAGCTGTCTAATTTAGTACCAGTAATATAAACCCTCATATTTATTGCTAGGTCAGTCTGCCATATACGGAGAGAAATCAATGTTTATTCACTTTATTTATGGCCAAATTTAAATGTTAAAAACCTGGATTTTTTTTTTCCGAAGCTTCATGTTTCATGGGCTTTTCTTGGCATTAATATTAAAATATGTGAACAGAATACATGAAAGCTGGATGAAAATCTGAAGCTTGTAAAAAGACTTAACCCCCTACCTGTTAATCAAACTGATTCTGTAGTCAGACAGGGAATTATCTCAAAAGCCTAAATGTAAATACTGCATGGTTATTACATTGTACAGCATAAGTAATTGTGTCTCGGGAAAAAAAAAAAAAAAAATTCAGTGCATCAATGCTTTCCTCAGGACCTGGGAAAATGTCATCTTTCCTGATGGGATCTGTCTGGATAATTGCCAGACTCAAAACTGAATTTTCTTCTTCTGTATCAAATGGTTCTGTGAAGTTGTTCTAGATGAGTATCTTACACCATGAACTCTTGAATCTATGATCTTGCATCCCATCTTCCATTTTCAGACTTACAAAATCTCAGCTTTATTTCCCTGGAATACTGTGTGAA